GGCGACACCACTGTAGACACCCGCCTCGCGGTTCTACCAATGGCTGCCCCACCGTAGAGCCCCTGCCTCACACATCAAGAAACCACTACGCATGGATACTGCCTCCGCTCAGCTATCTACTCCGCTAGGTCTATACCCATACGAGAAGTGCGGTTGTACGGGGGTCGTTTCATGCTTAACTTCATGGCTCGGTCCTTAACTGACCAGGGACGACACTAGCCTTTTCCGGACACCACCCAAATCCTCCGTCCGCCCCAGTCGAAAACAGTTGTTTAATTTTATTTCTCCTTTCACAAATCATGTCATCAACATCATGGCAATGTGGCGCTCATGTCTCCACATGCCGCATCTCAATTACCTTCCCAAAGGAAGGTAATTGCCTAAGCATATAGCATTTGATAAATATGAGTATGCATGATTCTAGAATAGCATTTCTAAGCAATTGTCATAATTGACTAGGGACTCATACGTAAACATGGTTACGAAGGCATAAGGGGTAAACAATAATCAAGGCATGGCATAATCACAAGTGGGATGTTCATCATTGCATGCAATCTTATTTGTAAACAAAAATTAATTTCGCAATTGGGATCAACGTGATCAAGGAATAGTGATGACTTGCCTTGCTCGAGGTCTTGCGGGTCTTGGCCTTCACCCGGATCCGCGGCTCCCTCGGGCTCTATAGTTTCGTGCGAAAATTGATTTGAATTCGGTTAGAATTCAAATAAAAATCCAAGTAAATCCAAATGGAAGTCGAATGCGAAAGTCGATTCTTTTATATTAACTTTACTATTCGCGAACTAGGGCAAACCCCATTTCGATTTAAGCTATTTTGCGGGTATAAATATTTTGTTGTCATAAGTTTTTAATTTAATCTACCCGATCAATATACCAATATAATAGGCTAGAAATTTCTATCGCGAGCTAAACATCGGACGAAATCCTAGAAATATTATACGACTTAATTTAGTCTATGATTAAATGACTAACTATAATACACGGCTAAAATCCCTAGTAATTAAATCCGAATTTTCTACCGTTAATCGATTACTTATAGAGATTACCCAAAAATAATCTATAATAATTTATGAGAATTCATATATTTGTTTAGTTATTAATGACATCTAAATTACTACCGTGAATTGATTTCTTATAGAGATTACCAAGAATAATCTATAATTAAATTTTGCAATTCTACGACTATAACTAATCTATAATCAAATTCTAATTATTTTAAATTTTCTAAACTTCCCTAATCTCCCTCTAATTTCCTATTTATTTCCTTTTTATTTTTCTTTTCTTCCCTTTCTTTTCTTTTTGTTTTTCTCTCCTCCTTCTTTTTCTTTTTTCTTTTTCTCTCCTCCCTCTTTTCTTTTTCTTTTTCTCTCCTCCCTCCCGGCTTCTTTCTCTCTTCCTCTCTTCTTCTCTCTCTCTCGGCTTCTTCCTCCCTCCCGGCAGCGACGGCGGTGGACGCAAGGGGAAAAAGGGCGGCGGCTTACCGACAGCGACGGTCGGCGGCGACGACGGTGACGGCGGCGCAAGGCGGCGACGCACGGCGCGGCGGCTCCGGGGCGACGGCGCGGCGGCTTCGAAGGCGGCGGCGCGGCGGCACGACGACGGCGGCGCAGCGGCACGACGACGGCGGCGCGTGGAGAAGGGGAAGAGGGAGAGGAGGAGGGAATGGATTGGGGTGGAGAAGAGGGAATGGGCCGGGGTTTTTATAGGGGAGAGGGGAAGAAAGAGAGGGGAAGGAGGGGAGAGGGTGAAACGACGGCGGCGCGGCGGCGCGGGGCGCGAGGCGGCGGGCGCGCGGCGCGAGGCGACGAGACGGCGCGTGGCGTGGCAGCGGCGATGGGACGCACGCGGCGACGGGACGCGGCGATGGGACGGGCGGCGCGGCGCGGTAGCAGCGGCGGCACGGGGCGCGGAGCAACGACGGCGACGGCTCGGCAGCGGCGATGCGACGGCGCAGCAGCGGCGATGGGACGGCGCGACGGGAAGGCGGCGAGCGACGCGCGACGGCACGGGCGCGGGGCGCGAGGCGGCAGCACGGGGCTCGGGATGACGCGACGGGCGGCAGCGGCGATGCGACGGCGGGCAGCACTAGGCGCGGGACGACGGCGACGCGCGGCGATGGCGACGGCGCGCGGCGTGACAGCGGCGACGCGATGGACGGGCGGCAGCGGCGGCGCGCGGCGCGAGGTGACGACGCGACGGCGTGCGGCGCGCGGCAGGCGGCATCGATGATGGCGACGGCGCGGCGCGGGGAGGGTTAGGCTAGGGGACCTCGTCGAACACGTGGCGGCTGATAAACAGTGATTTTTTTCTATTAAACCGATTTTAGTGTATTTCCCATATAAATTTGATTCCACAATTCCTAATTTTTGCATATATGCATTTTACTCAATATTTGTGTTATCTCAACTAATGAATTCACCCTAGATTAAAATTTACTCATATATTATTTTTATATAATTTATTTGAATTTTTAATTAGGGTTAATTCTTATTCCATCGTATTTAAATTTAATTGATCCAAATATGGTCGCGATAATATTTTATTTACTTCTATCCGCACCTAATCTTTATTTTAATTTATATTTATTTTACCAATTTATTTTTAAGGTTTATTCCTAATTAACTATTCTTTACTCACGATTAATAAACTTCGAGATCAAATCCAAATAAAATAGGCGAATAAGATCGGCATGATGCAAATAAATTTAAAAAGTTTTTGAAAATCCGTATTTTTAGAGTTTTGATTTTGTCGGTCGAATTTTCAGGGTGTTACACAAAGGATTTTACTCTCTCTGAGTCCATCTGGGAATTTTGAGGACTCAAGAGTGTAGAATCCTTTGCCACCTGAGTCTCTCTTGATGCCGAACCACCATCGCAGCATCAAAATTCAAGCTGCCATGCGCCCATGCTGACGCTTGCTGCTCATTCTCGTGCTGGCCCAAGCATCAGAGATGTACAATCTGTCACTCTAATTTATCGTATCATTTCCCCTGTATGGCCAACGCCGGTTATGACGATCTATCATTTCTTTGGCTCTCGATCTGGCAACCCCTCGTCGTGTATAGCATTGGTCTCTGGTGAATGGCCTCCATGAATGCCGACAACGGTTGGAGCAGGAGCCGTCCCCAAAAAACCCATGAGCAGCGCTGCGTTGTCCGTGTTGCCGTGCATTCTCCCTTTCCTAGCACCTCCTGGTCCTACGGGTACACAGGCTTACTAGCTCTCTCTTCTTGAGCCACTCGTCGTTCATATTTTGTTCACACTTCAGACAAATATTTCATTATATAGTACTCTACATTCATGATACTTAATTTACTTTTGTTTTTTTGTTTCTATCTATTTATTTTATGCTTCTGCTCTGTTGGAAGTTGGGACTATTGATGATAGATTTTAAGTGAGTTCAAGTCGCACGGTGTCACCATTATATATGACTGTACTCTTGAAGTTTGTTCAGTTAATTTAAGAAACACTACACGGTTCACTGGCTATATATACATCTATATATAAATTCGCTTCTCTCTTGGCTCAGCAAATCAACCTATCTTCTTGACCCAGAATCCTCTACACACAAATTTAGTAGTTATACACGGGTTTAACATAAGGAAATGATGAGGCGGTGAGAGTGGAATTGATACGTAGATTCATAGATATAAGCTCAAAACTGAGCAAATAATGTGAAGTTTTGAGAATGGAGGGCATTGGAAAAAAATGAATGATTCTATTTCACTAGTGGAGAAACCATCTTTGATCGGTCGACCAGATTTCACAATAGTCCCGGTTGTATTAAAAACCGGGAATAAAAACATCTTTAGTCCCGGTTTGAAAGCCCATGCTACTTTCCAATCTTTAGTCTCGGTTGGTGCCAACCGGGACTAAAGATCCATTTATAGTCCCGGTTGGTGTTACCAATCAGGAAAAAAGATCGCCATACGCTTTACTCCCGGTTGGTAACACCAACCGGGGACTAAAGATATCTTTAGTCCCCGGTTGGTGTTACCAACCGGGAAAAAAGATCGACGCGGAGATCGGAGAGGCATGCGCAACCGGGAAAAAAGATCGACGCAGAGATCGGAGAGGCATGCGCGATCGGATCGAGGTATTTCCTTCTCTCCTTTAACTCCTCTCCTCCTCTCCTCAACCTTATCTCTTCCTCTCCTCAACCTAATCTTCCTCTCCTTCTCCTCTCCTTCTCTCTAACAGACCAATGGCAGGTCGGGCGCGGAGGCCCGGCCGGCGCGGCGCGCGGTGAGGCGGCGGCCGGCGCGAGGGCGGCGTGACGCGGCGGGCCTGCCGGCCGGCGCGTCGCGCGGTGAGGCGGCGGGGGTCGGCCGCGCAGGCGGCGGGCGTGACGGGCCGGCCGGCCGGCACGGCGGCGGCCGGAGGCCGCGCGGCGGCGGGGCGCGGCGGGCGGGTGGCCGGCGCGTCGCGCGGTGAGGCGGCGGCCTGCGGCGGCGGCCGGCGAGGCGGCAGATTTTTTTTTTTTTAAGAATATGAGATTGTTGTGTGATGTATTTGATTGGATCTGATTGTTGTGTGATGTATTTGATTTGTGTGTGATGTGAATATTTGATAATTTTGTAGAAGTTGTGATGTAATTTTTTTTTTGAGATTTTGTGATGTATTTGAGTATTTGAGATGATCGATTGTGGATTTGGAAGCAATTTGAAATGATTGATTTGTGATTTTGGGGACAGGATTGATTTGTGATTTTGATTAAAAACAATGAAGAAAAGAAAATAATAAAGAGCAACCGGATCTAGTCTTTTTAGTCCCGGTTGGTGTGGGACTAAAAATTGATTTTTACTCTTGGTTTTTTCACCCGGGACTAAAGATAGCGATCTTTAGTCCCGGATTCGTAGTCCCGGTTAGAAAACTGGGACTACAGGGGGGTTACGAACCGGGAGTAAAAACCCTTTCTCCACCAGTGTTTGTCGAATCGTAATTTTGGCAATAATATTTATAGAGCTAACTTGGAGACCTGAACTGAACATTGATTATGACACAGAGACAATAGTATATATAGGTTTAGGCCTTCTAGACATGTGTTACAGTTTGTCTATGGTGAATCTGCAGAGTCCTCGACCATCTCCCGTACCAAATGTGGCATTTGCTAGATGAGGGAGAGATAAAGTCCATGTTTTAGAAGCCCATATAGAGTATATACATAACAAAAGCTAGTCCTACATAATACAGAGCAGGTTAGCAAATGCATACTATGATATCCTCTTGTAGTAGTACTACTGGTTCTTTGTATATAAAATAGCTGTTTGACTAGCATAGTACATGTAAAAAATAAGAGGAAGAGTTCCCTATATAGGAGTAAAAATGTTCCCTGTTTGTTTTTTTGGCCGGGTATGTTATTATTGGCTTAGCCTCAACTCTGAAAAGATCATAACATTTTCTTTAGGGATGTAAGGCATCAGAAGAATTTATCGCACAAAGGTAATTTATTCAACTAGTAATTGTCCAATTATGTGGATGCATATGTTTATCATCTAAAGTTACTTTTCCCTGCCTCGCAGAAATGCTTATGCAACAGTTCCTCCAATGCATGACGCACACTACTGCCACTTCAATCCGTGGCACGGTGGCAACACTTTTCTCATCACCTAGGGTCTTTGTGAGAAAAGTTGGTTATTTTCTCCATGTGATGAGAATGTCTTACTTTTTGAATATGGATTTGCCTTTTAGATGGTCACTCTGTCATCCAGGTGTTGGAGTCCAGTGGCTGAAAAAAAAAACTACTTCAGCACCCAAAGCCACTATTTTTTGAGAATATAAACGAAATGTTTTTATTTTGTGCTCCATAATATCTTTACGAAAACTCCTGATATTTGGAACCTGTAACTCTGAGAGCATTTTCGCTTATTGTAGATAGTGAATACACATGTTAGATGTGCTCTATATGCAACCTGGTATTTGGGACAACATACCGTCAAACAGCAGGACAGCATACAGTCAAACTGCAGAAGCCAAGAAAGTGGGCTGGATTGGGCCTGATATTTGGGCCGTAAACCATGAAAATTATAAGACATTTTGGCTATTTTATCCTTTGACTAGATTTACTAACGTCCATATGAATTTGGATACATATATGAAACACATACTTGGATGAATGTATTTAAAACCTTAAGCGTCTTGTAAAGTGAGACAGCAAAAGTAGTATATATAGACCTTCTCTTTTCTCTAGCTCAGAAGTCGATACATGTTCTTGACCCACAGAATCCTCAGTGTGCATTGGTTGAACACAACAATGGGAGTATTTATGGGATGGCGAGTTGGACTATTGTGCAAGCTGTCAAATGATGGAGAGGCCTATTAGAATGGAGGGCATTGGGAGAAATGTCAGTTCCTATTGATCGAGCATCAGGGAAACTATTGCTATGACACCTAGAACAGAACAAGAGTATACTATCAGGGAGCAAGGGCACATGGAAACCATGTTGAGTAACAGACCAGATTACGCACGAGGTGCAGCTTCTTTTTTCTCTGGACTGAACAAGGTGCAGCATCTGTGTTTCTCGGCTGAACAAGGTGCAGCATCTTGTTCCAAACTAACTGCACATCTGCATACAATGCTCCCTTGTTCGCTCCTTCTGGCACGTAATACAGCTCCAACCTTCGATTACCAGCATGACGACTGAATTAGCGGGTCTGCAGCCGCCGCCAAATCTCCCCCGAAAACACTTCCAAATTTTTTATCTCCTTTGTTTTTGGGGTCTTTGGAACTACCGTTATGATGTTGTACATGTTCCGTGGGATGCAACATGTTCGCTGAGGAGATTAGCGACGAAATGCTTAGAGGACGCCACCCTCTGAGCGGAACATCTTAATGTCGATGATAGAGTGGTTGTTTCCTCTTGGAAGGAAGCTTTTTCCTCCTCTCGAATATAATCTGTAATTTAATCCAAAACTATGTAATCCACCCTTCTAAACTGTTATATGAAATTCAGGTGGGGAATCCCCCCACACCCCCCCTTTCTTAAAAAGAAAGAACATCTTGTTCCGGGTTTTGGAAATTTACCACACTATCTATTATTTCCTGTTTAGAATCAGGGCAAATTAAGTTGTCGCACACTATTTAAGATTAGTTGATCACGCATATGTTTATCATCTGTTGTGTGCATGGATCTCGTGGTTAAGATTTGCATTTGGATTTTGGACCCACGATCCGGCATACATTACCATTTTGCAATCTCATGTAGTTTTTTTTAAAGAGACGGGCAAAATACAAAGATGGTTCTGGCCGAACTGACAATTTGGGTATACATTTGGTTCAGGTAGTGGTTCAAGCTGCAAAACTTAACAGAATTAGGCTTAAAATATGGAGGGTTTGCAAAAATTTTGTGCGTTGTAAAAAAAACCAATCAGAAATATAATGTAACGTGGCTCTGTTCGAAAGAACGGTTTGGTTTCTTTAACATGCGAAACGAGAATGTCATTCGTGATTAATTAATTATTTACTGTTACAAACTTAAATTTGAATAACGAATTTATTTGATTTTTTAAGAAACTTATTTATAAATTTTTTTTTAAATCACACCATTTAGTAGTTTTGAAAGCATGCTTATAGTAACCAAGCGAGTTGCGAAAGCTAAACGAGCTTTCAAACTGAGCTGCACGCATAACAGGTTGAGTTCGTTAGAGCTTTTTAGCTTAGCTAATTAACCGCATGCAAAAACGGGAGTATAATTAGCGCAAGTATTAATTAAGTACTATAATTTGAGAATTAGTGTTTGATTTTTAAAAAAGATTATATATTTTTTTATTACGAAACACATCTTAAGTTAAAAAAACAACGTGCTAACAGAAAATGAAATTGCAGCTTAGCTTTAGGGCATGCACAATCAGGGACACTCTATGGGTGCTCTCACTAACCGAGGGCACTTTATAGGAAACTCCCCTCACAATGGAGGACACCCTAGATGTTCTAGGGCTCCCCAAAATATGAGGTAACTGGATGAAGATACTCAAGCCCACAATGGGTGTCGCAACCAAAAAGACCACGGTGGTTATTTTCCTATACTACCCCCTCTCTCTCTCTTCTCTTGTTTCTTTCCCCCAAAAAAGCGTCGTCACCATCCCACCACGTGCTTGGTTTCTGCCACGCCCTTTGCCTCTCTCTCCCACCGCCGCTCGCCTCTCTCTTGTCTCTCTCGCCGCAGCCACCGTCCGTTCGTCGCGACCGCCTCGCGCCTCGCGCCGGTGCCGTTGGATCTGCCCCCCTCCCCTGCCGTCAGATCGGGAAGGAGACGGGGGCGGCACTGGCGGTTGCGGGCGTGGTGCCGGTGGAGGAGCCCAAGGAGGAGGTCGCGACAAACGCCCAACGGCGAGCACGGGTGCCTCAAGCAGTGGTGATGGTGGCGCCGCCGCAGCGCGGTTGCTGCTCCGCCGGATCCGGTCATCGTCGCCATCACCTCTCTCTTCTCTCTCTCGTCTCCACGCCGCTGGTGTCGTTGCGGCGGATCCGTCGTCGCCGTCGCCTCTCTCTTCTCTCTCTCTCGTTGTCACACCGCTGGTGAGGGGCAAGAAGGGGAAACAAAGGGGAGGAGATGGGGGATGGGGCACTGGGTCGCCACAACGCGTAGCCCCGATCGAGTGGCTCAGGAAAAGTGAGCTGGGGAGCCTGTCGGTGATATGGCCCCGGGGGTATGCGAAGTTAAGGAAAGTCTCCTTCCCATCTAGCCACGCGACCATGCAGCCTCGCCCTCCCCCCGCGCCTCGGACGACGCTGAGGCAGCTAGGGGGCCTCGGGGTGCCACATCACACCCCTCGGGCCCTCGAGGTGCCTCACCCTGAGACCCTCGCCCGGCCACCACGTGGCGGGGGGAGTGAGTGGGGCGAAGGGTGAGGCTGAGCGCCATTAATGCGCGACGCCTCAACCGTCCCTCGCTGCGTTCAATGCGATGAGGGCGGACGCGCGGCGCCGCCTGAATGACCCGCGTCAATCGGGCATGACCGGATTGTGACCGGCCTGTGACCGGTCACTTCCGATTGGATAGGCAACGGTGCCCCCACGTCCCACCCTATGCTCGACGGAGTGGGGGCAGGTATGCTCCGTCCCATCGATGCATCGTCAGGAGCTCCCTCCACGTGAGGTGAACCACCAAAAGTCCCCATTCATTTAAAGAGGAATGACAGGGGTGTCCCCCGTGTCAGGCGGGGGACGGCGCTGGGCCCCACTCAAGGACGGACGGCTGCTTAGCTTCCAGGCGAAGGCACGAATGGCAGTCCGTTCCAGGCGGTGTGGGTCCCCCCTTTTGTGAAGGAGTAGGTAGAGGCGGTGCATGTGGTATCCCCTTGAACTATAAAAGGAGGACCTTGCCCACCGAAAAAAGGGGACGACTCTCGACCACTTGAGCCTGAGGAAGAACAGCTAGGTTCTCCAAGGAGCTCAAGAAACTCTGTAAAGGCCAACTATAATCCCAAGCACAGGAGTAGGGTGTTACGCTTCTAAGCGGCTCGAACCTGTATAATCCCCAGTCTCACACGTAGACTCTAAGCACTCTAGGCGGATATACGCTCTTGATCAGCACTCCTTTTCCCCCGGCTGAACTCACAAAGGGGGGTCTCATGACCACCCGCTAGAGAGGGTCACTCCTCGACAGCTGGCGCGCCAGGTAGGCGTGATTCACGCGTTTGAGAAAGAAGTCGCTTCCTTCTACCCCAAGTTTCCCTCCGTCCTCAACGACCATGGTTGAGGTCCTGGAGGAAGAGGTGGTGACGCACACCCCCACTCCCTCTGGGAGTGAGGACGCCAGCGGGAGCCACGATCCCCTCCACCGCCGCCACAACTCTCCGACTCCTCCCCGCCGCAGCCCTCGACGGAGGGAGGATCCCACCCGGTCCGGTGGCTCGGCCCTCTCACCACCGCCAGGCGGGGGGAAGCCACGCCATGCCGGGGCACGACGCCGCCTGACATACGATGACGGCGGCTCGCCCCAAGGCGCTCCAGGTAGCGGGGGCCTTTTTACGGCATCCCCCGTCAACTCGGAGCCGGAGACTCCTGTCCAGCGATGGCTGGACGACGTGGCCAACCTGGTCACCACCACCCAGCAGCAGCTGGCTGCGGGTGGCCGGCCCGCCACTACTGGTACCTCGCGTACCCCCACCGCCCTCTCCTTGTCAGCAAGGAGGAGGGCCCGTCGGTCGGCACTGACATCGAGGCGGTCGACAGCCCCAACGTCGTCAAGGGCCTCGGGAAGCCGGAGGCGCCACGACGACGTCTACGGGGAGCAGGACGCTCGAATCAACATCGAGCGACGCAAGGACGAGCACCGTGCTGCCCGCATGGGGGAGGGCGCCTCCTTATCCGGAGTGCTGCGCTCCTCCACGTGAGGCAGCCCGCTCCCCGTGTCCATTCCCGGAGGGACCGGCTGCAGGGCCTTCGTGGCGAGTCTCCGGAATGTCCGGTGGCCCCCGAAGTTCCGCCCTAACCTCACGGAGAAATACGATGGTAGCGTCAACCCCTCCGAGTTCCTCCAGATCTACAGCACGATCATCGTGGCAGCGGGGGGTGATGACCGGGTCATGGCGAATTACTTCCCCATGGCCCTTAAGGGTCAGGCGCGCGGCTGGCTCATGACTTAGCCCCCCGACTTCATCCACTCCTGGGAGGACCTGTGCCAACAGTTCATCACGAACTTCCAGGGCACGTACCCCTGGCCAGGAGAGGAGGCGGACCTGCACGCCGTGCAGCGGAAGGATGACGAGTCCCTCCGCTCGTACATATAGCGTTTCTGCCAGGTCCGCAACACTATTCCCTGCATACCGGCCCACGCGGTCGTTTATGCGTTCCGGAACGGCGTGCGGCATAACCGCATGCTGGAGAAGATCGCCTCCAAGGAGCCCAAGACCAACGCCGAGCTCTTCGAGCTGGCGGACAAGGTGGCTCGGAAGGAGGAGGCATGGGCCTGGAACTCTCCCGGCACTGGCGCGGCGGCTGCGGCTACCCCCAAGCCCACTTCCCGCTCCAAGCGGTGGGATAGGAGAAGGAAGAGGAAGCCGGCCCACTCCGATGATGAGGTTCGACACGTTCCCAGGCGCGACAATGTACTCGCCGATGAGCTGTCGCGCATCGCGTTAGCACGAGCCCCACTCCCTCCAGGGGCCTTTGAAGAAAGGCTCATGCAGCAGTCGGCACGGTTGGACCCCCGAGGACGCCCGACCTCACGGCCTCCACCCCGACGCTTGGCGAACCGCAGGCCTCGGGGCCCGAGGGGGTCGACCCCGACCCCCCTCGTCAAGTTGCCTGGATGGCCGGCATCCGGGTGTACCTCGACAATCACACCCTTCCTGAGGATCACGCGGAAGCGGAAAACTCGCATGCGTTTCCAAGCGGTACGTGCTAGTAGAAGGGACCCTCTACCGGCCCGCTGCCAATGGAATCCTCTTGAAGTGTATCTCTCGAGAGCAAGGCGTCGAGCTCATCGCCGACGCCCACCAGGGAGAGTGCGGGGCCCACTCGGCCTCGCGCACCTTGGTCGGTAAAGCCTTTCGTCAAGGTTTTTACTGGCCGACCGCGTTGCAGGACGCCCAGGACTGGGTCAAGCGTTGCAAGGCGTGCCAATTTCATGCCAAGCAAACTCATCAGTAGGCCCAGGCCCTGCAAGTCATTCCTTTGCGGTCTGGAGTTTGGACATCCTGGGGCCCTTTAAAGCGGCCCGCGGCGGGTACCAGCATCTCTGCGTCGCCATCGACAAGTTCACCAAGTAGCCCGAAGCTTACCCGGTCATTAAGATCGACAAGCATTCAGCCCTGAAATTCATCAAAAGAATCACATCCCGATTCGGGGTGCCGAACCGTATCATTACGGACAACGGCACCTAGTTTACCAGTGAGCTTTTCGGCGACTACTGCGACAACATGGGCATCAAGCTTTGCTTTGCCTCACCCGCCCACCTTAAGAGCAAC